CTCGGTTAAGGAAGGCATGTAAACACATGTCTAACTGTAAACACATGAATAATCCCATTGTCTTAAATGGAGCTATACAGATGCTTACAGTTTGGCACATGCTTAATTACCTTTTTGAATCAGAGCCTAAAAGGGGAGGAAAGTATGGCTTAGACAGGCAAAACCAGTCAAAATATTTAGTCTTTGCCAATATTCATTTTGTTTAAGTTATTCAGAAATGGCATTCTTTGCAATTAAAAAAAAAAGATTTCTCAAGTAGGCAGTTTTCTCCATTACAAATACATTTCACAGTCTGTTATACCAATTTAATAAAGTGGATGAAACCATTTTCTTTCAACTCACTGGTATCAAACACTAATAAATGTTTCTGTCAAGCTGTTTTCTTTATACTAGTAGAACTAATAATAAACCCAATAATAATAATACCAAAGGATCATGAAGGAGGTCTATTTCCATAATCTTTTTGATCACCATGATGATCTTTGCTTGTAATCCCATATAAGAAGCCAATTATACTATATATGGATAAGGAATTCCTTTTACTACTCCTGCTACAACATTTACCACCTCCAACATGAACTATTCTTTTAATTTTATTGGGCGTAAATTGCCATTGATGTAACAGCTTATCCTCAGAGTTGGGTGTGTTGCACAGGCAGCAGCAAATAAAATTCTCTCCCATTTCTATCAATATGTTTCAATCCTGACCAGGAGTCCCTATGCTTATTCAGTTCGTGATTCTCTGCTGAAGTACCTAACAAGGATGCCAATTTGGGGGATGGGGAAGGGTGGTAGTTTTTTGTAGTATGGACACTTGTCTGCTAGGGCATGGGCTGAGCACAGCTCATTTCACTTAGGCCAAAGAATACCCATCAGGTGGTAACATCAGACGACTTTCTATTTTTTGTCAGTTTATAAAAAAAAGTAATTTTTAATTTTTATTCCACATGAAAATATTTTTTACCTTTAAAAATATGATGAATTTTTTCTAAGTTTCTTGTGAACAGTGAACATGACACCCTAAGTATTTTGTTGGGGAGTTGCATGTCCTATGGTCTCTTCCCAGTGGAGCTCTTCAAGAGAATGACATTCAAGTTAGCTTCAGAAAGAGATGTTCTCACTCACTCTTCTGTCTTGGAAGCAGAAAGCCATGTAACTGTCAACTATAAGTAAGTCAGATGGGAAATGAGGAAAGAACACTTTAAAAACCCCAAGCCTTCCAGATTATTTATCAAAGCAACGTATTTCTTTCTTGGCACATTTTGGGGAAAATAAATAGAAATGTTTTGCAGCGTATATCTGCTTTCACTGTCTAATATGATGCTTTCAAATGTTTCTAGCCTCCAGTGTCTAGAACCTTAAATCTTCAGGCTTTAATTAGCATATTGATAATCCTGCAAATATTATTAAAATTCTGCTGTTTTCTCATTTTAGATAGTGATAAACTTTTTTACTTTTACACAAATGTAATGCACTTCAGTAGTAGTATAAAAACAGCATCAAATATTCAAAGATTATTAAAAGGGAGATTTTTGTACCTCATTTAGGCATAATTTATTATAAAACTTTTCTTTTAGAACATTATCATCTTATCATTGGATATTTTTTCTTGTTGGATTTTTTCTTTCAATAAATCAATGCTGATTTAAATATTGGCCCTTTTCCAAATTGCTTGAAGACTTGATGCCTAACAGCAAAGACAGTAATCTTTTAAAACTGTTCCTTAAGCAACCATTTGTCATCTCTGCATAGCAGTGTAGCTTGCATTCAAAGGGATTTTGTGTGTAAACTAGGGGATTAATTCAGTGTCACTTGTCCTTATGTAATGCATTTAGCTCTTAATGATGAAGGCTATTCCAGTGGATAGTCATTTGCACCTATCCAATATCCAGAAGGACTATCAGTGCTTTTTTGTAACTACTCAGTGTTATTGATCCGTGACTCTCTGAATGAGGTAAGCTGGCCATAGTAGAATAAGAGCTTAGTACAAAAATAATACAGTGCTCTCCCTGGAAAAAGAAAAATCACATCAGATAATTTTGTTTCTAGGCATCAAACATCATGAAGTGCTGTCACTCTAGCACTTTTGATGTGATTGTGATCTCGGGACCTCCTCCTTTAATACTCTGAATGATTTTCTCCTCTGTATATTAGCTCCACTAAATGGGGAGAATTATGAATAACATCACGGGGTAGGTATTTGGGTGTTGTACAGCAGCACCTTCTATACAGAAGTAGGGAATTCAGTTAAATTGCAGACTTTAAAAATAGCTATTAAGGAAATTGTACTTTTAAATGTGTAAGGATTGTTCATTTTTAGGAGGTTTCAGAAAATAATTTAACTAAAACTGAGAACGACTGATTTAAAAAAATATATGCTTAAAAGAAGTTTCCCTAAAATAATGGATTTAATATAACCTGTCCTTCCCTATCTATATATATGAAACTGGTAATCACGCCCCTCCAGCCAAAGTATCAGACAGAAGCAGCTACAATGACTGCATCCCAGTGTATGAGGGAAATGAGATACTGTGTTGCCGAGTAGATTGTGCACTGCACTGGGACTCAGGAGTCTTGGCTTCTAATCCCAGCTCTGCCTCTGGCCTTCTGTGTTACCTTGTGCAAGACACTTTATCTCTCAATTTCTCCATCTCTTTTGTAAAGGGCTTTGAGATCTGCTGCTGAAAAGCACTATATAAGATCTTAGTATTAATATATATCAATGTTATGTGTAGAATAATGCTGTGGTACTAGCAATGAAAACTAGTATCATGAAAGTGTGGGGTATGACATGTCTTCTCTTCTACTCTTTTGAGAGCAGTGCTGAATTCTTGCATTGTGAGCTGCCATGATTCTAGTCACACTCTTTCTTCTGATTCAAATTGTGTTAAAAATTTCATTGGAAAATGTAGCAGAGCAAAATGTAAATTCAGAAATCTTTCCTGGAGTTGTTTACTTGAGACAAAAACTAGTATGACATTTATCACGCTAGCAGTCATCAAAAGATCCAAGGAATTGCATTAAAAGATAACATCCCTGAGTCATAACAACTTCAAGTGTTGAAATATCACATAATTTCCACACTCTAGATCTGGGATTTGGTCAGTAAGAGAATTTTCCTTTGGGTTAGGCTTTGGTTGACGTACCTCAAACAAAAAGTATTGGCAAAAACATTTTCTTCATGGGAGGTTAATTTCTACAAAACCAGTTTTTAAATTGCTTTTTCATGTTTGCAGCAATTTGCCACGACTGTATAAATGTCTGATTTCAATGGAGTTCTGGCTGCTGCCTGAAGTAGTTTCCTGTTCAGCTTTTTTATGTTACGCTGGATGTGTGTTTTTAAAGTATTGAAAGGAAAGCAGGGCATTTTATGACATTTCTAATCCCCTTTTCCAGTATAGATTTTATGATTTTCAAGGAAAAGAAGGATGGGGTAGAAGTGGCTGGTGGATGGAGGAGAGAGAAAATATACCTGCAGTACACAAAGGCAGTGTGCCTATTTAGCAGTCAGTTACAAGCAAATTTAATTCCATCTGTGGTTAGACATCCTGTTCAGTTAAAAAGGCATGATAGAACAAATCATAGAGGACTAGAAGGTCAGGCCATACAGTGTTAATTTGTTTTCATTCTTTCATTCACCTGAAAGGTTACATTAGCTATATGGCTTAGTTTCACTTATCCATTGAGACATTTCATTAGATACAACATTAAGACATTTCATGGTTTTTCAATTTTGGAGAATCAATTTTTTAGCTAAAAAAACGTGTTCTTAGCATGAATGGTTTATGTGCTGCAGGCTTGTTGATTCACATATAGTTTCCTAATATAAAGATTGTTTTGAGTTTCAGGTACAGTAAATTTGCTTTGAAGATAATATTTTAGTATCTGTTATTTTAAGTGAGAGAATCTTACTTGCAAATTCATTGCTATTTATTTCAGTGTTTTTAAAATATAAGTTCAGTTCAGATCTCTGTGGGCACATAGAGACTTTATCAAGAATAGCAATACATTAAACAATTTGGACCAATTACCAAACTAAAGTCATTGGTTTGATAGAATTATGAAGTAAAATGCCTTGGCCTTTGTTACTCAGGAGGTCAGACTAGATGACAACACTCCCTTCTGGCCTTAAAATTTAAGGGTATGTCTACACAGCAAAAGCTGTACATGGGCTAGTCTACCTGAAGTAATTTGAATTTGGATAGTGCAGGTAACAGTAGCAGTGAAGACAGCACAGCATGAGCTTTAGTGTGGGCTTAGTGAGCTGAGAACATAGCGTCCATCCTGGGCTTTTACTACCTGGGCTGAAGCCCATGCTCTGCTGTCTTCACTCCTATTGTTGCCCATGCTAGCTGGCTTCAAACTAGCTCAGGTAGGCTAGCCTGTGCATAACTTCTGTTGTGTAGACATACTCTAAGAATCTAAAAACTGTTCTCCACTCTTTTCAGAACAAGCATCCTCACACGTCTCACTCAATCCTTTCCAATTGTGTAAAAGCTTGGGAGAATAGGTAGATTTTGGAGCAAGAAAAAAGTGATATGGAGGAGTACTTGTGGCGCCTTAGAGACTAACAAATTTATTTGAGCATAAGCTTTCATGGGCTACAGCTCACTTCATCGGATGCTACTCTGAAACCAGAGAAAATAATGGAGCCATTCAAGGGTAATCCAGTCTATCTGTTGGGTTCAACAGTACCCTCGTGCTTAATAATAACAAATGCAGATAATGGACCTAAAAGAAACAGCATAGATGCTTGCTTTTTGTCTGTTATTAGTAGGAGTTCATCAACCAATGAAATTTCCATACTATATATGTGCTAAATGGACTGTCCTCACAGAACTGTGATGAATCCAGGTATGGCTGTAGTTGCCCAGGTAATATTTTCTGTATGACCATTCCTCCCAAAAAAGGAGTTTCATATTCAAGGCTTTTTCTACTACAAACTACGGCAAATCATTTAGTTTGTCACATGCAGTATATATTTCTGATTTCTCCCCCAGTGCACCTGCAGGAACGACATGGTAACAATATCCATGGATATCTTTGTAAGGAAGTTTCAACCAGACAGATATCAACTGTGGAAACAAGGAAAGGATTTATATACCATTGATCACATGAAACCCACGCCTGAAACAACACCTGAGGTAAAGGCCTGGTTGCAGAGAAGAAGGAAAACAAAGAAACCTCCCAAATGGTAATTGGAGTTGTTCACCTTCCATTTAATTAAAGTTAAATATGTTGTATGTTTCCATTTTTTTCAATGCCCTTTTCTCTGACATTCCATTAGAGTTGTTGATTTATTCTAGTCACAGCTAATTTAGCTCTTCTTATAATTTAACCATGAGCTTGAGGCCAAGAAAGTCATAATTCATAGTGATTGTTTAAATGAAAAATACATTCATTTTGCAACATGAAAGGAAAATGCATAGCTGAAGTTTATGCACATGGAGAGGTGGCCATTGCTTCTAATGCAATATTTAAATCTATTCCTTTGGTGAGGGTGTGTTCACTGGCACTTACACTGTGTGTAACAACATCTCCAGCTAGGAGATCAGGAAAACATCTGTAGGGAGTGAGCTAAATGCTAGAGTTAGAAAAGAGGGGTATAAAACAGGTGCAGAACTGCAGCAGCTGTGCACAACCTCTAGCAATAGACTTAATGGTCACTAGCTTGTAGCCTAGGAGCGCTATAGAGAGAGAGCTATTTGGCAGACTCTCAGAATACCACAGCCAATACCTGCTATATCTGCTATGGATTGTGTAGGTGAGCGGCAGCCTGTAAGTCCCCCTCCCCAACAGTCCACGCAGCTGGACTCTCGTAATGGTAGTTGCGGGTTCTGGCAAGCCGGGGTAATAAATTAGTGTTAGGATATAGATATTTAGGCCTGTTTTTAAAGTATAGGCCTTTGCAAACAGGTCTAAATATCTGTGTCCTAACATGGATTAACAGGTTGGAATTTGGCATAATGAAAACCTTAACCCAATTGTCAATGCAGACTTTACTGACATACCTGAAAAGTTAACTTTTTGAGTTATCATTGATGCTATCAAAGTTTTGACTTTTGATATTTTTACAGCTGGATCCAGTGTCATCGTGCAGATAGTGTATTTTGGGGGAAAGTTTTCTTTACATGCAGCGTTTCTCTTCTGTTTGCACTTAACAGAATTCCAACTGATTTTCCTATTCATTATTGCTTTGAGTTTTAACTGCTAAAATTATGAGATGAGCTTTGCTTGTGTCTTGTCACAGCAGGGCACAATTGGATCAAGTTAAGGATAATCCTTAGTCATTTAATAGCACTTTTAATCTTCAAATCATTTTTGTAAACATTAAATAATTAAGGACGATGCCCCATTGTGACTACATATTGGCAAGTGAACACTAAACTGTGAATTTCCTTCTTTACTTTTTAAATGAATTTTCTTCTCTTAAAAGGTGATGAGATAGCAGAGGAGACCAACATTCTCTGCTTATCCACTGGATGAGTAAAACACTGGCAACGGCATTGTGTGGTGGGGGCACCCCAGTTTGTTATGTAGCCCCCACCCAAGGCTTAAATGTTCAAACTAATACCACGTTACTCAGTCCAGGGTCCAAACAGCCACCAGTGTCTTAGTCCCCAGGTTCCTTTCTGGCCCTTGTAGTGGTTGCCGGTGCTTGGGCACAGTGCAAGCTTGGAGTGATGAATCCCAGTCTCTGCTGCCTTGCCTGGTGTCCATGTCCACAGTCACCATGCTAGTCAAGGCTTCTTTGCTGGGTCTAGGCTGCTCCTTCAGCCTGGCTGTAACCTGGTCCCTGGGCCTCTTCTCTACCCCCAGATTCTGGAGTGGCATTTCTCTTCTCCAGTGACAGGTGGGATGGCAGGAGGAAGCCAGTTATGAGATTTCTTTCCAGTCCTCTATCCAGTCAGGGTTCTGAGGCCAGTACCCCTCTCTCTGCTTTCCCCCTAATGAATCAGGGTTCATGGGGGTAGGGGCTTCAGTTCTCGTGGAGAGTGGAGTTACTCTCCACATGAGTTTCCCCATATTGTTCCACAAATGTGCCTCACCCCTGAAGTAAAGGTTGACATCTAGGGGTGAGATGTTCATTTTCCATGTTGACTCAACTGTTAGTTTATTTCCTGAGACTCCCAATAAATATGACACTTAATGTCTACTAAGTGAAGAGTTGCCCCTGACCTTCCTTGGTCCCTACCCAAAGGGCTGAGGGATGCACACATACTCCAACCAGACTTTTCATGTGTGTATCTGTGTGTGAGAGAAGATTTAGTGGAACATTTTCAAACCTTTATTGTAGTTTGATTTGTGGGATATTCAGGAGTGTGTGAATGTGTTGTTAGCTTATCCAAGCTGGTTTTCCAACCTATAGTCTTCTATGAAAGTCCTTTCAAAAACCAACCATACAAAATCCCAGCAATTCAAAGTTAAGTTTGATATTCTTCCCTTCACAAAAAGTAAATTAGGCCCTGATTCCTCAAATTACTACATGCTTTAATGCATCCTTATTCATCAAAGCACCTAACCACATGTTTAATCTGTTTGCTGAATTGGATCCTTAGTTTGGGGACTTTGGTCTAATTCTTCTTCTTCAAGTGCTTGCTTATGTCCATTCAACTTAGGTGTGTGTGCTCACTACATGCACTAATGCCAGAAATTTTTTCCTCAGCAGTATCCGTAGGGGACCGGCTCCGGTGCCGCCTAGAGTGGTGCGCACATACCACGGTATATAGGGCGCTGCCGGTTCCCCCCACCCTCAGTTCCTTCTTGCTGCCAGTGATGGCTGGAACTGTTGCTGCTTCAGTTAGTGCTGTTGCTGTTCATTCGTACAAACTAGTTATCTCCTGTATTAGGTTGTATATAGTTTTCTATTAGTGTTTATAAATCCCTTAGCTATAGTTAGAGACTTCGTAGGTCCCAAACGGGACTTTGCCTTGGGACGGGGCATGTCCCTAGGTTTTAAGCCCTGTGATTGCTGCAAGAGGCCCATGCTCGTTAGTGATCCACACAGCAGCTGTCTGTGTTGCTTGGGTGAAGGCTACATTAGTGAGAAGTGCAAAATTTGCAAGTCCTTCAAGTCAAGGACTAAGAAGGAGCGTGATATTCGTTTAAGAGCGCTGCTTGTGGAGTCGGCCCTCACCCTGGCACCGGAGCAACGCTCCAACTCGGCACTGAGCACCGTTTGCCCCACTGGGACCATCCCCTGGCCAGCACCTGTCCCCATCCGTAGCTCCAGCCAAGAAGGTGGGGTGAGGCCGGTCTCCAACCTCCCACAAGGGAAAGGATAAGACTGGATATGAGCAAAGTCCCAGGCCGGGCAACTCTTCACCCACATCAGGATCTTAGGCCCAAGCTCCGGTGAAGCGATGTAGCCCAGCCCACGCCCCACCAGCTACCGTGAATAGCAGCAGAGACCTCCATCAGTTCCGGGTGCCATCCACGCCAGAGGCCCTGCAGGGAGCGCAGGGGATCATGTCTCTCTGGTGTTGCCCACACCGGCTCCTGTGGTTCCCCGGTCACGGGGTAAACCCACATTTGGACTGCTTCGGTCCCCACCTCAGCAGCACCATTCCCCATTGTGGGGGACATCCTGCCAGCACTCACCTTCCCTTAGCCGCCACGCATCTGACCACGAAAGGCAGATGCAGCGCAGCCCCATTCAGTCCCCGGACCTTGGACATGAGCAGAGAGACTCAAGGCGCAGCTTGCTGGCCACCGAGTGCAGACCTTTGGAGGCACATACCCCGCAGGAGGAGTACCTTTCGCAGCACCCAATATCTCCGAGACCACAGTACCGCTCCAGGGACCTGTCGAGTGACTGATCTTACCATTCCACAGACCGTCGCCGATCCCTTAGGAGGGCATTGCTGTGTGCGAGTGCTTCCCAGTGCGGGCTCGTTCCGACTTCAGGTCCCGCTCCTCATCCCAGTACCGCTCGTCAAGTGCAAGACATAGATTGCTGGCTCCAAGCCATCGCTGGCTCCAAACCATCCGTCAAGCGTCACCAGTCCCTAAGATCCAGCTCCAGATCAGACTCCAGGTGGAGTGACCGGCACCAGTTGGGACAGAGTCATCCCAGTTCCTCCCCATCCTGGGAGTGACCACTCAGAATCCAGCCCTGGTTCAGGGCAAGGTTCCCTGACAGTGGGACAAGCTCCAGTACTGGCTACATTGTTGGCCCCAAAAAACCGGCCCCGTGGTCTCAGGCACAGTGGCCAGCGCCGTGGTACCCATGGAACCCGTGGAGGGGGGGTCACCCAGCCCTCCCAGGCTGCCCGCTTTGTGTCCAGAACCTTGGAGAGACCGGCTACCTCTCTCTCCCGCCCTCCTCTAGTGCACGAAGCCTTGGGCGCAAGCACCCTGCAGGTCCAAGAGGGAACAGAAGAACAAGCCATTGGGCCACCAATGGTTGTGGAGGACCCTACCGCACTGGCATCTTCCTTATTGTTGCCAGATGAGGCTCTAATGGGGCCTCCTCTCCTGGTTCCTCCGGATGACACTAAAGTGCACCAGGAACTATGTAAGAGGATTGCTGCCAACCTGGGTCTTCAGGTGAAGCAGCTAGAGGAGCCCTTGGACTCTCTCTTCGATGTCCTCTGCTCCATGGCACTGGCCAGGGTGGCTCTGCCCCTTCATGATGGGGTCTCTAAGATCACTAATGCCCTCTGGCAAACTCCCTCCTCCCTGCCACCCATCTCCAAGAGAGCTGAGTGCAAGTACTTTGTGCCATCCAAAGGCCATGAGTACCTGTACACGCACCATGCTCCTAACTCCCTAGTGGTGGAAGTGGTTAACCATAGGGAGCAACAAGGTCAACCCAGGACTACCCCTAAGAACACACTCCTGTGCTATTTAATTACCAGATTGGCAGTGGTGCAGACACACAGGAATGCATGTTGTGAAAATGAAGATAAAGTGTGTGTTCTGTTTCATCTCTGCTGTAATGTATTGATGAAAAACATGATGATTTTGATCCCCAGGAGTCATAAAACAATGCCAACCAATCACCATTTTCAGCATTGCAACACAATTTCTAGAAGTATCACTAGATAGAAGGAAGAGAAGGAAATTCAGAGAATATTAGTGGAGGTAAAATATGGCTCCTTAAAAGGTTGGTGAAAAAGATTATCAAAATATTCCTAGCTCACTGGCTACATCTGCAGTTCAAAATATACAACCCTTTGATATAAATTAGTGATGTCCACTACACAGGACACTTCTCATGAAAGTCTCATCAGGTTGGAAATTGGCAACACCTGACTTGTGATGAAGTAATGTGTACAGTACTGCCCTGCTATACTAGAGACTTGAATCTGGGACTTGAGACTCTCACTCCCTGTATCTTGGGCATGCAGATTACAACCCATTCAGTCTTTGAGAGCAGTTGCCAGCATTCTTGCTCCATGTTTGCCCTTCTGTTGGTGGTACAGAATATGCATAAGATGGGCTGGAGGTTGCACTTTATCTATATACTTAAATGTAGTAAAATAACATTTTCTTCAAGCCTCAGAAATTTTCCCTAATTCAGATTCTAGTAGCTGATGTTAAAGATGCGTATACAGTTGCCAAAAATAATTATCTTTGTAAAAGTTACATGAATGTGCAAGAGTGATCAGGCAAAATGTCTAGTGCACTCTGGGACTGGGACAATATTATCTAATTTTAGTGCAGCTGAGCATATTTTTTTTCTCTATCGTTATGTTGCTCAGCTTAGTCACTTTCAGGTTCCGAAGAATGGTTCATCAAAAACTAGTTTTAGAACTTGATTAAGAAAGACTCGCTGTTGTTTCAGGTTTGTAGTTTAATGCCTTGTTCTAAGGAATTGTGATAAAACATTAGAAGGTTAAATCCAATCAATTGTTAATCTATCACTTAAATTGTAAACACTATCTAGGCACAAAAAGTTGGGAAATTGTCAATTTTTTACCACTTTAAGCAGGTGAAAGGGACATTTATGTTGGTAGACATTTTATCTTATCCAAGACAGACATTCTACTGTGACAGCAATATCTCTTATAACAGCTTCCAGCATACCAGATCTCGATCTAAAAAGCTTAAAACTCCAGAGGACGAGAGAGAATCAGCTATGATCGTTGGTGCAGAAATCATAGCCACTGAAGCAGCTACAGATGGCTTCAAGGTCAATGAAAAGCCAGAAGAAAAAGTGAAGCTGGTAAATTCAGAAGTGCCTTCTGGGGAAGAGAAAAACATTAGCAGAATGCAGCTGGATCAGCATTTATTGGATAATATTGAGGTCTCAGGTGAGATAAGGACTGATTATGTTTCACTTGTAAATTTTAGGCTATTGATATTATGATGCCATAAATCTGTGGATGATAAGGGAAAAGTGTTGCTCCAAGTGGCATAACTAAAAATGTCTATTCATAAAGTTTTTATGCAGGGAAATCATGCAGGCATGAGCATCATATGGTATTTGTATGTGATAGGAGCAAGAGTACAACCAGTTTAAAATACTGAACTGAGAGCAAAACAGGTAAAATTATTTTTACTCATTTATTTTTAAAAGAAAGGAACCTCTCCCCTAAAAAAGCAGGTTTTTTTTTAAATTAACTCCTTCCATAGATTGGCACATTGTAGCAAATGAAAAACGTGTCTGGAAAATGATATGAAGTACCTTATCCACTGAGAGATACTGTAAATAATATATACACTTGAGATGTACTGCTTACATTTGCAAGCAGAAAACGAATTGTGTATAGTGTTATGGAAAGTCTTAGTTTCCTTGTGCACAAAATCCCCCACTTCTAAGTGTGCAAGTTCTGTTACCTAAGCTACACTAGAAGTGTCTGCTAGAGGGCATGCTCCCTGTGCACACGTTACATATGCCTGTGCCAGCATATTTTTATTTACCCTGCTTTGATGCTGATACCTTTTCTGAGATTCATTCTCTTGCTGACTCTGAATTTCACTGCGGGCAAGACATAGTCTCACACTCCTGTCCAGAAGGGAGTTTAGGCCCCAGTTAAGCAAAATACTTGAGCATATGCCTCACTTTAAGCACATGATGAGTCCCATTGTTTTCAGTTTGGCACCAAAACGGTTTTCAGGAGTGAAGGATATTACCCTTACTGGAAATACCATCCTTGTTCAAATGTACCAACCAGAAGCTGTAGGCATTTTACAGTTCCCAGCACCAGACAGACGACAAGGTGAATTGTCCAGATGTGACTTCAGTAGGACTACTTGTGCTTAGAGGTAAGCATGTGCATATTTTGCCGAGTTGGGACTTGACAATATCCACCCCTTTGCCTGATTTTCAGAGGTATGGATCATTTGTAACTCCCAATGACTTAAATAGAAGTTGTGAGTGTTCATCACTGTGGAAAAAACAAGTCCTACTTAAGTGCCAAGGTGAAATACAAGCTTTGTAAAGTAGAGCTCATTCCATTCTGCTTTTCATAATTAAAAGATAGAAGGTTGGACCTTTGTAGAGGGAGCCTTGTGGATGTGACAGCTACGATGTGGGCTACGTTGTTATGTGTACGGTGCTGGCAATTGGTGCCTGCAATCTCTGGCTGATACATTCCAACAATTAATTAAAGAAAATATTCTTTATATCTGGAATTTCTGCATTGACATTAGATGGGACTACTTATTGGTAAATTCTGCAACCAGATAGATGATTTTAATATTTCATTGTATACTGCACATGAAATTAATCTTCAGCAGCACTGAAATACAAAATTATTCACTGTAATTTTTTGTGATTTTTATGTCAGCGCTGCTATTTGCTAACAATTCTTGATATTTCTTGTAAATATATTTTCCTTATTTTAAGTCATTATTTCTTGTTTACTGACAGATTTTCACACAGGCATAATAGGTGTAAATTCAGAGTATAAAGTTCAATATGCCAACCTTTTACAGTGGTTATTTCAAGTAGTTAAATTGCCTGTAGGCTGTCAGAATAATCATGTTGAGTGCATATTGATAATTTCAAGTGATACAAAAATACTTTGTCTAGTTGTTCAAATTGAAAATGCCAATAGAAAGAAAAACAAGACGTAAAAAAAGGTTTACACTCTAAACTCAATATGCTATTATTTATGTTTTATCAAAGAATAATTTATCATTCTACTTTTTAGTCTGGCCTTTTGCTGATGGAATGCTAGACAGGATTTCTAAATGACAAGCAGAGTTATGAAACTGATATTCAATTCAGACTGCTGTGAGAATGGTATAGAATAATAATAATGCAATATGAAGTTTATTAACAAACCCATATTTTTGATACCTAGGGAACATGTGTTCAAACTCACTTTTCAGCCCTACTCCTGTAATGCAGAAAATAAAAACAGAAGATGAGGACAAGGAAGATTCCAGTATTGCTTCCTTTACACCTAAGGATTCTACACTCCCGAGACCCACATCTATCATTTGTATAAATGAAGAAGACAATTCTTTAAAATCTCAGAATCAGGCTTTCCGGGTTGAATCATGCCAAAAGTCACCTGGATATGCTTCCTTTGAATCAGAGTGCCTGGAAAAAGGGGAAACGAATAGCGTGTCCACAGAGGATGATGTCAGCGACCTAGAAAGCAGTGAAAGTAGTGAAAGTGGTTTGGAACCTGGAGAAATACCTGCCGTAAGAAAAAAATGCTTTGAAAATACCCATTGTATATGAAACATATTGCATGGTGGTTTTAATTTATTCATAATCAAGGGCACAGACAGATGTTGAACAACAGCAGGCTACTAACGAAAACCTGCAGAACTTTGTGTGTGTTAAGTCCCATTGACTTCAGTGAGACTTGAGCATGTGCTTAAAATGAAGCATGTGGTTAAGGGCTTTCCTGAATAGGGATGATTTCCTGAATTAGGACAGAATTTTATTGCAGCTCACTTGATGATTTTTTTTCTTTTCCTGTTTTGGATATCTGGTAATCTGACAGTATGTAGGCAAAGTCTGAATTGTCAGAAGGTATAGCTAAGCCCCTCTTCTTTTCACTAACTGCCAGAATGGAGGACTCCCCACACTATAACGATACTAGGAAACTTAGTTAGAGCCTTTGAAATAAAATAAAAATCGGGGGGAAAAAAGCATCCTATGAGAGCAGAAATGACCACTACTATAAGATATTCAAGTGTGAGGAAAGAAACTTTTACGTATTCAAAGAAATGAGGAAAAATACCAATCATTTACCATGAGTCAATACCCCTAAAATGTGTTAGGAGGATTGCTGGTTATAAGAGGGTTATCTTTATCCCTCTCTAGTGGATGGACCACATAAAAATAATAGGAGGAAGGAAACTCTCAAGGATACCACAATCAAATTTTTCTTTCTCCTGCTATTGGAAAGTCTGGCAATCTGACATGGGGATATGAACAGCAGTAAATAATCTCATGCTAAAACAAGTGATTTGAACTTGTCTGCCTGTGGCACATAATAGCTTAGTCTCCTGAGGGCTGTAATACTGTCATCTGTTTTCAGTTGTTAGGTTTAGTGTGTGGGTTCTGGTTGGTGTTGGTGGCCTGTGATATATAGAGGCTTAGACTGGATGATCTTGTGATCCCTTCTGACCTTTGACTTTGTGTAACTATACACTGTATTCACAACCACAAGTGAGGATGCTTAGGGAGGCACTACAGATTGTAACACCCTCCTACCAAATGTTGAGTGTTGGCAGATGACTAAAGATAGACCATATAGTAGCTGGCAAAAGTATGTTCTAAAGACCAGGTCACAACCTTGCAGGTCTCTTCATAGAGCTTGCGCTCTTACCACTCCAGAGACTGTGTGTGACCTAGTAGAATAAGCCATGACATTGTTTGGTGGAAACATGTGGCTTCATGTGCTTTGGCAAAACATGCTTTGATCTATATGGCAGATGAAGTATTTGAGGCCTTCACACCGTTAACATCTGGATAATAGCGGTTGAAAACAGAACTTGACTTCCTGAAGGGTTTAATACCTTAGATGTAAATCTTAATGGCCCTATATTCATCTAATGTATGCTTCCTCCCCCCCCCCCGCCCCCTGGTGAAATGGATTTAACAGAAGGAAGGTAGTGCAGTTTCATGAGCTTTGTGGAAATTAATGTTTTACTTAGGAATAAGAGGAGGAAGAGAGAGATTAGTACCCTGAAAACTAATTTAAAGGCCAGACAGGAAATCTGTGTACCAGAGGAAGGTGAAGGATTTCAGCAGTATGTAGAAATTGTGTAACATTGGGGTGAAAAGGTAAAGATCTTGGTTTGTCCATGGTGTTAATATGGACAGCTAGAAATGGCTGAATCTTGAACTAAAGAGCAGATCTGTTTAGCTCAGATTCAGGAGAACCTCGTGCTTTTAGAACTAGGTGTCCTGAGTTCATTCCCCGGAAATGAACTGACCAGACAAGTCATTGCAACTGGTGGGCCATGCAGGGATTTGAAGTTGTGATGAGCTTCCCCACATTCATCAAGTATATCTTTATCCCTCTCTAGTGGATGGACCACATAAAAAGTGTTCATGAGTTTGCTATTGCCTCTGAGCTAATGGACTGGGTCCTTTAGCTCAGGCAATAGTGGTTCATGCATTCAAATTGAGCGATCTTGGTTTCAGTCCTCACAGATGAACAGACCATGGGTGTTATTACAGAAACAATATTGGACCCATTAATAGTGATAGAAACTTGGAAAACCATGCACTCTTTTTGGAAAGAACAGCAGGGTACTTTAGGCTCCCTGTAGAGAGACAATTACTTTGCATTAACTTTATCATTTCTGTGTTGAATCTGAATTTCCTTCTGAACTACTTGAGGGCCTTCAAATCCAGTGTTGCTTTGTGACTCCTGTCCTCTTGGGAACATTGGAGAATATTGAGTAAATTATCTTTTAGCATTTGAAAGATAGAACAGGTTCCGTTGCCCCTATTTGGAGACAATGACAGATGACTTCTTGTGTAATCTAGCATATCAGTTGATCTTTGGATGTTGGGGGCTTGATGAATCTGTCCCTGGGAAGAGTTCAGTTCAGTTGAGTATCCATTCAGAATTAATTCCATAACCTAACCTGTTTAAGGTAGATCAATAGTGTGCAAAGTTTTTGGGGTCTTCCTCCTACATTGTCCTGGGCCTTATACATGTGGACCAAAGAGTCTGGCCCTTATTCTTAGAGGTGGAAGAAGATGTAGAGATAAATTCAGATCTGTATCTCCTGATACGTCTCTTACCAGCGACTGTCCATTATCTACGTCTATTATCATCTATTTCTATAGAAGTCAGAATCTCTTCTTTGATAGCAGGATGACCAGCCCTTTGGGCTGCCTGTTTCTATCAGGTCAAAATTCCCTTCTGTTCTGTCTCATAGAAGGAAGAGATTTCTTACCTTTACCAGAAGTTTCCACCGCTACTTTATCACCACTTCCGAAAGAGCTTCTCTTTGAAAATATTGAGATAACCAATTATCAGTTGCTGGTGCCAAGGAAGGACTCTGCTAGAGACCCTCAGCACCACCATGGCTCTGCCCACACCCAGACATCCAGACTGATTGCATGCCCCAGTGCCCCCAAAACAGAAAAGGCCAACAGAGGGCACTTCCTGGCCAGGTCTAAAGACCAGATGGTCAATAACCCCCACCCGGCTCCCATTTGGTAGGGAATCCGTTGACTTCTGCCCCGAGATGGGTCCAGTCAAGTCCAGACCCGCAGCGCTGTCCTGCACGCCACCATGAAGACTTACAGCTTCCTTCCACCCTGGAGGCGTTCCAGGCAGCAGCGGACCTTTTGGCGCTTACAGCACCATCCTCCCCTCCTAGGCGAGACAGATCGCCAGCACCGCTTCTGGGCCTGGTACATTCCATGAGCAAACCGGTGATGATGTTGGCGATAAGACCACCATCTCTGTCGCATCGGCCTGCGGCACTGGTGGCCCGTGTGGGTGAACCGCTCCGGTCCCCCAGTTGGCACCATTCTCCGGCACCAAGCCGCTCTGCTCCTCCGTGGTCATCACAGTCTGAGACCGACAACCCTACCCGGCACCGTGGCCAGGCCAACGGCAGGTTCCTCAGTGGCCCTTCTGGACACCCTGGGCCTATCACCAGAGCGGCATCGGTGGCCTCAACTTATTTTGGGCAGCTGCATACGCCGACATAAATGGTCTCTCTCACCACTCCTCCCTTTGTAATAATATTAAGCACTATAAGCATCTTTTCAGTGTTGTAATCATGCTGTGTTACAGGTTATATTTAATGTATCTGGGTACCTCTCAGACATTCCCAAGTGGCTTTTCAAATACTTTCCAATACACCTCCATGCTCTGTCTGTGTTACTGTTATACAGGGTTATATTACAGAGATGCTATTAGGAAGGCCAATCTGCTTTACCTTTTTGCTCAGCTAGTTGCATCTTTTGATGTCATAAACCCATCCTGTGCGTTAGCCACAACATCCTCCTCCCTCCACTTAATTTAGTAAATGGTATGTAGCTCTGTATTGTAGCTGCTGACAACCTTGATGTGCTGTTTTCTTGTTCTTGAGGATGTGCATTGTTTTGTCAGTCATCTCGAGGTTGTGCATTGTTTTGTCAGTCATCTCCTTTATCTGTTCTCCTTACCTAGACTGGCAAACTCCATAAGTGATCTCTGGTACTGATCCTTGATAAATGAGGCTGTTGTGACCTGATTTTCCCTTTTTCCAAAAGTACCCATATGATGATAATTACTGACAACTGCATGAAGCCACCACAGGGAGAATAGCATGGCTGTGCAGATAAATGAAATGGCACACACATTTCCATTTAATACCATATGAGTCAGTGTGATAAACTGTTCTGAAATATACAAAAAGAACAGGAGTACTTGTGGCACCTTAGAGACTAACAAATTTATTTGAGCATAAGCTTTAGTGACTTTATCAGATGCATAGAATGGAACATATAGTCAGAGAATATATATACATACAGAAAATATGAAAAGGTAGAGCTGGTCTGCCAACTTCCGCCTTTTCATATTTTCTGTATGTATATATATCCTCTGACTATATGTTCCATTCTATGCATCTGATGAAGTGAGCTGTAACCCACGAAAGCTTATGCTCAAATAAACTTGTTAGTCTCTAAGGTGCCACAAGTACTCCTTTTCTTCTTGCAGATACATACTAACATGGCTGCTACTCTGAAACTTGAAATATACAGAAGTATTCTAGCGTACATTACATTTTCAGCCAGTGTTAATCTTTATTCAGTAGATTTAGCATTTATTTATTGTAATTGTTTGTTAATGGTTGCTTTGTATTTTTTTTTAAAGACAAACTTAACTGTTGCATTTTAACTTTTAGTTACTAAACTGAATGAGTGAAAACTTATGAAGAAAAACTGTACATGTTTTTTAAATATGTTGTTGTCCTAATACCAAGTTGTTTTCCACACCTTTTTCTGAAGTAAAGGGAGAGATTATCCCATCTCCTAGATCTAACAAAATAACTAATGTCAGACAAATTTTTGAACCATCGATGAGAGGTTTTTTACATGCCTGATGTGAGAATTTATCTAACAAATTGGATTATTTACACGAGTGGTTCTCAAACTTTTGTACTGGTGACCCCTTTCACATAGCAAGCCTCTGAGTGCCACCCCTCTTATCAGTTAAAAACATATTAACACCATTATAAATGTTGGAGGAAAAGTGGGGTTTAGTGTGGAGGCTGACAGGTCGCAACCCGACAAGTAATAACCTTGTGACCCCCTGAGGGGTCCCGACCCCCACTTTGAGAACCCCTGCTTTACGCCATTAGCAGAAGAATATTCTTGCTTATCCGCATTAGTTTTGTTCAGTTTCCAACTAAACTAAATATGGTCTCTCCCTTTCAGTTAGCAGAAATTGAAAGAAAGAAAACATGTAAGAGTTGGCGTCATCCACTAAGTAAACCCCCAGCCAGATCTCCTATGACACTGGTTAAACAGCAGGCAGTAAGTGATGAAGGTGAGCATGCTTTTAATGTGTTTCTCTAATTACATCTGTCTGTCTTTATAACCTGTATACATATATCTTTTAACTATTACAAAAGTACTGAAGATGAAAGAGTGTTTTGACTGTGTGGGAAATCTTCTAAAGTTGCAGAATAATTCCATTAAAAAGCTTTCAGCATGCTTGCTGAATTCATGAGTTCTTTCTTTCCCCCGTTTCACTTAAATTCTCCTAAACATATTAGAACTGTCTTGTAAGAAGCTCAGAACAGTCTGAAGTCATTTAAAGTGCTGCATGTGGGATGAAGACACTTTCTGTAGCCAGATCTCCTTTGTTGAATTTGACAGCAATTGGCTTTAGCAGCAAACTTTATATCTTATTTTAGGAAGGCAAGTATAGCTATGACATACCATTTCTAGATCTTCAGAACATCAGTCCTGCTTGTAAACTGTACCTCGTTGGATTATTTTAAAAAAAAATTGCATTGTGATTCTATTGTTTTAGACATCCAGTTGGAGGCTTGAAAAGTGGTTCTGGTAAAGACATCTGTAGTCTTGATTCATGAAAGAGACCACAGATATTCCAAAGCATCAGAAAGGTTACCAACAGTCTTTATTATACCTTGGATTCTGGCCCCACAATTAGTTAAAAATATAAAGGGAAACAATTAAATAGACTGGTCTCTCTCTCTAGGTTTGACAAAGCCATTTTATTATATCCATTGAAAATGGAGAGCTACTGAGCATATCCCACATACATTCCTCATTTTACTCCTGAGGGCATTCTGCGTCAATAAAATAAAAATTCTGCGCACAATATTTTGAAATTCTGCATGTTTTATTTGCCAAACTGTAGATCACAAAAGCTTATGCTCAAATAAATTTGTTAGTCTCTAAGGTGCCACAAGTACTCCTTTTCTGTTTGTGGACACAGACTAACACTGCTGCTACTCTGAAACCTAAATAAATTCAGAGGCTCCAGCATGACAGTGGGGAGCACAGGCCACTGGCTACATGAAGGTGGGAGATCACCTTGTAGCCCCCTCCCCCAGGACGCGGACTCAGCAGTGAGGCTGCACCCGAACCTGACACTGCACAAAGGCCTGGGCCTGCCACAGAAACACTCTGGGCCCTGCCCCTCTGCACCAGGCTCACCAGGTATAGGGCAGGCAGGTTCAACCAGGTAGAATCCAAGTGTGGAGGGGCTGTGTGGGGGGATCCAGTTGTGGGATGAGAGGATTCTGTGTGGGACAGTCTGGGTGCAGGCAGCTCAGTGGGGGGATCTGGATGCACAGAGGCTTGTTGGGGGGGCAGTTTCCAGGTGCAGGGGCAATGGGACTCTGCAGGGGCTTCCAGGTGAAGATGGTTGCAGTTCAGCGGAGGGTTCTGGGTGTAATGGTCTCAGTGAGGGGGTCTCGGTGCTGGAGGATTGGGGCTTGGTAGGGTGGGGGCCTGGGTGCAGCTAGTTGAGGGTCAGTGGCATGGGGGTCTGGATGTGTGGGCTCAGGGTGGTGCAGGGGGTGAGGCATCAGCGTGGGGGTTTGAGTGCAGGGAGCTCTGAGGGGCGATCTGGATGCAGGGGTGGGGGTCTGGAGGCAGGGGGTCTGTGGGCAAGGGTCTCCAGTTGCAGGGGTTGAGGTTCAGTGGGGTGGGGTTCGGGTATGGAGGGCTAGGAGGATTCTGGATGTACTGGGTGAGGCTTGGCAGGGGTGTCTGGGTATGAGAGGTCCGGATGCACGGGGGTAGGGTGGATTGGGAGCAGCTCCCCATACAGTGACCCCTCCCCCCACAGCTGAGGAGTGATGAGGGCAGGAAGCAGGGGAGGATGATGAGCTTCCTGCAGCTGCGGGAGGGTCTGACACAGCTCCAGCTACTCCTTGCAGGGGAGGAAGAAGCCCCGTCTGCTCCTGCCTCCAGCCCAGCTGGGACGAGCAGCTGATCCCGGCTCAGGATAGGAGCCACTGGCTGGAGTGTCCTCAGCCCCACTGTGATTTACCTCTCCGCCGGCTGTTCTGGGTGCCTGAAACAATGTACCTGTGCTGCTAGGGAATGGTGTGGTGTGACTGCTCTTGCAGCTTCTTTTTGCTTCCCTGTCAGAAAGTCATTTTTCTGTGGGGAAGCAAAGAAATCTGCAGAGGACATGAATTCTGTACATGTGCAGTTTTGCAGTATTTCCCCAGGAATATCATTTATACCATTTTCTATAGTTATACCAGTAAGTTTCTGTAAAAAGCAAAGTTCAAGATTTTAAAAACCAGGGATCAGATTCTCAGCATAGCTGAAGAGAGCAGGCATAAATGTAGGCCAACTAAAAGCAAAAATAGCCCTTAATGAAATTTTAAAGCTATGCAGGACTGCCTACCTATCCTCATTTCTGACACAATTCCTACTCTGTGCGGGAATCGGCAGCAGCATTAAGGTAGCTTTCTGCTTGCTTGGTGGTGCACAAAGCAGATGGTGTCAGGGCAAAGAATCTGGCTCCTAAATTCACATTTAAGAAGTTAAATAATTTTCCTAAACATTGAGCACAGAGCAGCTCCCATTGACTTCCAGGAGTGCTGCTATGTACTCAGCACTTCTGAAATGTAGTCCAATCGCTTAGATGCCTAAATAAGGAGCCTAATATTATGCACCAATCTTTCTGTAATATTAAAACTCTGCACCTCAAAGCTAGATACCACCATAGATTGGACAGTTTTTCAATAGATCCAAATAGAATTGGGCTTCTCCCATAATATTTCAGTCTGATGGGGTTGTGAAAAAATAGTAAGATCAAAATTATATAGTACAGCCATCAAGCTATACGGTATGCCAGCTGCACTCATGTATAAGGTGCTTTTGCTTTCCTTAACTGTTATAAGCAATGGGGGGGGGTATGTTTATGTGTGTAAATATATTTTAAAAAAACCCTCATCCCCCAATAAAAAAACCCCAAATACCACTACCCAAGGGCAGTACTTTTTCTTATTTCCACAGCTCCTAGGTCACTGCACTTTCCCTTTCTTAAAGCCTTCAAACTGTAGCATACATTTCACTTTTGTAGTTTAAACCTTGTGGCACATTCAAATTCAGTTTTTCACTCGAGCCTCGAGCAGTATGTTGCATCCTATAACTTATGTAATTAGGGAATAGTTTGGATCTGACATTCATACAGTGTGTGATGACCTCCATTTAAAATATTTAAAAAACGGCAAAAGTTCTCTCTTCTGTTAAATGGAGAATAGAGGCCTTAGTTGTTATCCCATCATAATTTTAAGTTTTACTGTGTGTTTTTTTTTTCAAAAATTTAGGATTAATATTTATGTTAAAGCCCTAAGTTACAAAGGAAATTTGATCTTCCATATTTGGTAAGTAGTGCTAAAAGAAGCCTCTTTTCCCTTCAGCTACTATAGATTCATCTGTACACAGTTCCTGTAGCTAAGTTGATGGTACTTTTGATTTGAATGACTTATCAGACATCTCTTATTAAAATGTTGATCATGTTTTCAGGGTTGACATGCAAACATGCTAATAAGGTATATAACAGTTGTTGAAAGCAGTTTTTATTTCAGGTTTGCAAACACCAGCTATTAACAGTTGGGAAAATAAACAATCCTCTATTCTTGTCACATTCCTGTGTGTGCGTTTCCAATAACAAAACATTCATTTTAGGGGAAAATAGTTTGAGGAAAAAGTGCACAGCAATTCTGTTGTATTTTAATAGATAGGAGTATGGAATGTATATTGTCTTTTAACATATACCGGTAACAGTTTTTTTTAAACGGCATATTTTGATGATAGATTTAAAAAAAACTAGTTAAGGGAGGTGGAAAACAACCATGTACTTTATTTTAAACAATGTTATTAGCATAGTTAAATTAACATAAGCCCTTCTTTATTTAAATCATTCACCTCCATTACAACAATAATTTTTTGGACAATAACCAACAGAAATTACAAACTCACAATAGAAACTGATGCACAGCAAGCAAGCGATATGGTTAGTGTTCTGCTTCCATCACATTTCATTTCGTTTTCTGCCTTCTTTTTGGCATTCATCTAGGAGGCTGCTCTTAGAGGAGCTGGGACTGGCAAATACAGGTCACTTCTGAGCTTGCTGACACTGACGGGCTTGAATTTCAGCGCTCAGACCTCCAGTGAAGTCTGTGTGGGTGCTGAGCATCTCTAAGATATCCGGTCTCATGGTTTCAACATAGTGGTGCCAGCTGCTTATTAAATGAGGCTACATTTTTTTTGTTTATGAAAAGTTACAACACTCAAGTATAGTTGTGTAAGTATAAATCCAGCAAAGCCATGAATTGGTATGTTAAATTCATGTCTACAAAGCACTTCGTAAAGGAATGCAAAAGGTTGGCCCCCCTGAAGGTGTAACTTGCACAGCTTTTGTCTACGAACAATGGAAGGCTTACCTCCAGACATAAGCTGCAACCTTACAGGCAGCTTAAAAAAACCCCCTCTGCAGCCATTTTTGTTCTGTTGGATAATGCAAATTTAACAGGGCTGGCATGTCTCTTTCAATGTTATGCTTTCAGTCAGCCTCAGCTAAGGGTATGTCTACACTACAAAATTAGGTCGAATTTATAGAAGTCTGTTTTGCAGAAAGCGTTTTTACACAGTTGATTGTGTGTGTCCCCACACAAATGCTCTAAGTGCATGTAGTCGGCGGAGTGCGTCCACAGTACCGAGTAACCGTCGACTTCTGGAGCGTTGCACTGTGGGTAGCTATCCCACAGTTCCCGCAGTCTCCGCCGCCTATTTGAATTCTGGATAGAAATCCAGGTGCCTGATGGGGCTAAAACATTGTCGCAGGTGGTTCTGGGTACATATCGTCAGGCCCCCCTTCCCTCCCTCCTTCCGTGAAAGCAAGGGCAGACAATCGTTTTGTGCCTTTTTTCTTGAGTTACCTGTGCAGACGCCATACCACAGCAAGCATGGAGCCCGCTCAGCTAACCATCACCGTATATCTCCTGGGTGCTGGCAGACGTGGTACTGCATTGCTACACAGCAGCAGTGTAT